GGGGGGATTTAAAAGCCAGGCAGACGAGGTGCTTAGGGCCAGGGTTTAGTGGTGGGATGGCAGGTTTAGAGTAACGGTTGGACTTGATGATCTTAAAGGTCTTTTCCAACCTAAACGATTCTATGATCCTATGATTTTGTCTGGATGCTTCCAGCACCAAGCAAATCATTGCCTCTCCTGGATGCTGCAAGACCACCCCCATCAGTGGGGACCATCACGCGCTGAGTCAGGGCTCTGTGGGAACTTAATTGCCCTGACGAGCCTCACTGTGGGCTCCCCCGCCCCTCCACCCAGGGTCCCGGTGCTCTAGCTAAGCTCTAGTCTTGGCCCCAAACTGGCCAAACCCTCAGTCACAGGGGGCTGTCAGCATTTAGCTCTCTCACGGTTACTGGGGAGTTGCTGGGAACCTGCTTCAGTTTCCCCACCCTTGCCACCAATCCCCCATGCCACCCCATGGCTTAGCTGTCGAGCATCAGGATCCCAAAGCCAGGCTCCCCGCACCCTTAGTAACTGCCTGCAAATGGTGGCAAGGACTCATCCTTTCCCTTGGACCCCACGCCCCACACAGGGGATCAGAAGCCAGCCTTCTCCAGCCCCTCACTGCCCCCATGGTGGCTTTGCAGAGACTCTGCAGCCCCTCCAAGCTCCAGTTCCAGGCTGGACCCTCTGCCCCCAAGCTCCCCATGCTTCTCACCTCACGGCTCCTCTCCCGAGAGAGTTCCAAAGACACCGACACAGGAGACACAGAGCAACTGCGCTAATGGGCAGCCCCGAACCTCTGCACAGGGAGAGAGAAATGAGAGAGAATACAGAGGCATTCCAAGTAATCTTATTTTTCCAGTGGCTGAAAGGGAACCGCTATGCCACACTGCATGTTGCCAGGATATTTTAAAGACCTTAGATGACCTTCAAAGTAAGCACGGTTTTGACAAGCCAGCCACAGGAGACCCGCCAGGCCCCCCACCCGCCCTCCAGCGCCGGAACAGCACCCCACGGGGCATCCCAGGCTCAGGGACCCCCCCGGGTGCCAGCCCACGCAGGCCTGCCTGCACCCCACTCCCTGCTTGTGCAAGCCTGCATATCAACACAGTCACCTTACCGGTATGATTAATAGAAAGCTATAGGATTATTGAGCGTGTTGCGTTTATTAGATACATGTGGCTATTCTAATAATTATTACTACAGCCTCATGACCCAGGCCCTCAGCTGACAGATTTCTTGCCTCCAGT